CTGCAGTGGATTTTATTAAAAAACAAAAATAAAAGAAAACAAAACTCAGAAACATGATTAATACACATATAAAATGAGATTAGAAAAATACATTATAAACCTGTAACAATGGCTGTTAATTACATTATCATACATGTAGAAGGCAGGCCAGAGAGAATACGGTAGGTATAGAGTCGACCTTTCACCTGATGGACTTATCCAGCCTTTCACAATGACACAGCAAGTTGTAACATTGCAGAGGGAATTTTCTTAATACTGTCAAATGCTGAATTGCCATCTCTTGCTCCACTTTAATATTGCATTACAATTTCAAAAATAATAACACTGAAAAAGAAAAAAAAAAATCATTGACCTTTTGGTGTAACAGCAAGATGAGAATTCTGTGAATAATAAAAAACAAAACTGCCAAAGGTTTTAACAAATCTAAATATTTGTCAGTTTATCATTTCACCCAACCTGTCTTTTGTTTCAATAACTGAAAACCATTTCTCTGGGAAACGAGGCTGTTTCATTATATTTGTTCATTATAAGTCTCATTACTGTCCTGGTCGTTTGTTGTCAAATGGACCGGATGTTTTCAATCTTCAGTTGTTGAAACAAACAGGCCGACCCCCTCCCCCTCTTTACTCATTTTATTTTTTTAATCCATTTTCCTCCGAAATGCTTTGTATTTTCCTCAGCTCATAACCTAAAACATGTTCCGGCAGAATACTTGGTTGCAAATGGCAGTTCGATTTGTTCAAAAGGAAGTTTGGTACAGTCACCAAAAACCAAAACAATATTTTATATAATCAGTAAAATCGAGATAAAAAGACAACAAAACCTGCTCATACGGCAGAGTAAAGGGTCATCAAGTAAAAGAGAGAAAAAAAAATAAAATCATTTCAGGAAGACAAAACCATGGCACATATTTTAGCTGGTCAAAATGACTGCTATTCTTTTTGCATAGAGTAACTTGGGTGACGCCACGACGCGGTGGCGGCTGCCCTGCTCAACTATTTAGAGCATGTAACACTAGCCTTTCCTCTCTGCGCCATCTTGGTGGGTGCTGGATATTTTTAAACACAACTGGGATACTAGAAGACAGAAACCACTGTTGATAAGGCACTTTTGATTTGATCCTTTTAGGCGTCTGTCTCGCTCTGATCTCACCAGCTTTCCGAGGGTTAAAACTGTCTTGGTCTTCCTTTTCCAATTATATTCAAGGTAACAGCACTTTTCCTCACCCACTCAGTTTATCTGTTTTCTCCTATACTGTCTGAAACTTTTTTTTGTTTACTTTTTTATTTTTTAACTGCAAGTAAAGTATCAAAAGCTAAAATTGCCAAAAATAGATTTTTGATTCTTTTTTTCATCTCCAGCACCCTGTAAAATTATCTATTTTTTTGTTCTGTATTTTATATGCAATGACAGATATCTACATTTTTATATATTTATATATATTTAGATATATAAGACGTATGTATAAAGCAATTTGAACAGGCAGGCATGGCTTTCACATCCTATTTTTTTCTTGAGAGTTTGAACAAAGGATTGTGGGCTCAGAAGCTTGACTACAATCAGAGGGAGGTGTGACACATTGTGGATGCACTTTAGATGGTTTGGCATGTGTGGAGTTTCATTAGTACGAAAAAAAAATGAATAAAAACAAAATTTGACAATGCAGGAAGGCTCTGATTATGCCTCGACTTGCACAAAAATATCATGCGCCGTAGTCAAAAAAGAAATGAATAAAAAAATTGGCCAATTTTTCAAATGGACAAATAAAAGAAATGAGGAAATCTTGTTCGTCAAAGTGACTGATGAAACAACTCAATATAGAAGTGCAGAAGTTTGAATCCTCCTTCACCCTCTAGCAATGCAATAATAGCATTATTGAGTAGCGTGAAAATTTAGTGTTAATTGCCTGTGTTCACCTCATACAAATAAAAAAACAAAACAAAACTGAGCAGTAAGGGGGTCAAAAATCTATCCGACTGGCTGTCTGTTTCAGCTGAAGGCAGGCACAAGAAGTTCACACCCTTCCAAACTCTAAAAATCACAGAGAGAGCCCTCTGCGACACCGATGCATAACTGCAGATATATAATTCACTGGAAAACCCTTTGGCTAAATACACACACAATACTTTTTTTTGTCTTCGCGATCACAGCTCAGCTAAACTCATTGAGATACTTTTTTCTAAATACATCAGGCACTGGATAGTGGATGTAGTGTGAATGGGAGGGGGGGTAGCAATGGTCAGTAGCTAATAAGCACTGCTGCTGTGTCCCCTGAGCCTCAGCACACACCCTACTTTCATTGTAGTATTAATGGGATCACACACACACACACACACCCATCAACCCAAATAGTGACCGTCCCATCTCGCTTTCTACCATTTCTTAGTTTCTGCCGCCTGCCTCAAACACTAAACTGGGTTCTGACTTTTAGAGAAAACCACCTGCGTTGTTTTAGCTCCTTAAGCTAGTTAGTCAAATCTGAACAAACAAACCCAAATAAAGTGGAGAAAATGACTCAAAAAGAAAAAAACACAAAATCAAGACAGAAGAAAAAAAAAACAACACAAATCATAAAAAGCTCCTTCTGCAATCATTTCAGCCATGCTTTAAAAACATAAAAACAAAAAACAGACAGGAAGCCGTTTAGAGGGGCACACCCAGAATGTGTCAGCTCATAATTACAACACAGAGCTCAACTGAAATACATGTGAAAAATGACAGAAATTAAACAAGTTAATGTAAGTGGATGTTCCCTTTCCTTCAGTTTCTTTTTCTCTCAGAGTGGGTGGGTGTTTGAAGAGGCTGGGAGCAGGTAGGCGCTCTTACAAGTCATGCTTCAAGTGGGGGTGGGGTCGGGGATGTTTGAGGGTGACTATCACTCTGAAACCAAACGGTTTTTAACTGCAGATGTTGAACTTTGACCAAAGCAAGTGAGGTCACCAAATTAGAGTAGTTAAAGGAGGACGGGTGGGTGGGGTTGGGGGGGTCTTTATTGCTATATAATTCAGTGCAGATTTATGAGTAATACCACAAACACATCCACCCAGAGCATGGTTCATGAAGGAAAAGAAAAAGAAAGAATGGGAACTTAACTAATGAACAGAGGGAGAAATGAATAATACACAACGTCGTTGTTGTTGTTGTTTTATGTTTCAGTGAAGATTCTGCGTTGGTTTCTATCTTTTTGTCAGAACGTGTTAGGGTAACTGTACAGGCAGGCGCCTCTCTCTGCCACTTGCGTCCGAGAGGCTAGCAAAAGGCAATTACCAGTTAACTGATCAGCAGGCAGGCTTGGGGCGGCTCATCATTGGGTGAAGAGTTCAGAGGTCAGAAGGTCATGTGTTAGTTGCCGGTGGCGGCTAGGTGGTTAGAAACAAAAACAAAACAAACAGAAAAAAAAAGATAGAAAGGATATTAGTGTCAGCAAGAAGAGACTGGAATGACATCATTTTAACAATAAAATGAATGCAAACTCTGCTCCTAATCCCCCCTGCTGCTATGAGGTGAACCCATTAAAATCATGACGTCACATCATGATCCCAAATACTAAGCCACACCCCTAATGAAGTAGCTTTGTGGTTTCCTTAAAGCGCACACTGCCTCCCAAAAACACAACAAAGCAATAACAAAAAAGCAAAACAGAAACAAAAATAGAAGCAAAGAGCATGTACAAAAAAGTTAAACAAAACTCTAAAGTTTTAGTGTTTCTCGAGTTGGAGTGCAAGTTACAGTGTGATTAGTAATAAGGTCATAAAAATATACTAGTGTTACGTAACAAATAACGGTCTAGTGTTCAACGTTCAATAAACGGAAGAATCAATGCTTTCTGATTCTTTCTCTTTATTTAACAGTATACTTTTTATAGAATATAAATATACACAAAGCCATAAATACATTTGATATAAAATGTTCAAATATAAAATGACAGTACCTCAAGTACAACTGAAATATCAAAAAATGTACTTAGCTTTATTTCAATATAACTGCAATATGCTGCAGACAACGCAAGCTACCTCAGCTTATGTCTACTTGATATAGAAAAATAAAAATCCAAAATAAATTTGAATTCCATGGTGAAATGTTGTATAGTTGACTAAATTACTTGTCTTCTGCCTTCAACGTCTTTAGCAAAGCTCCTCCTTCGTCTTTGCCCCTTACGAGCCGAGGAGATAAATCACGTTTGGGAACAAAGCTTGCTCCAGTTTAGGTTCTKATTTCACATCAGAGGAATGTCGTTCTACACCTTAAATACTAACTGCAAAATAAACCTGTCCTGGCTTCACAGCTGCATAAACTGAAATCTCTTAAGATCACTTTTGCCTGAGCTTTAACATATACACAGTCTACACAAACTGTAAATATTAAGTACTAAATGTAAACAAAATGTGCATACCACACGCAACCATTTAGCTGGTGTGTGGATGTATGGGGTAGGAAAAGTTGCAGAGGGAGAGGAAAACAAAACAAAAAATACAATACAGATAAATCCCCGACTAAGGCAGTGAGGCATAATAGGCATTAAAAGAATTCAAATGCATCACTCAATGGTAAAATGTAGCTAAGAGACTAAACTGACCTCTGTCAGCGGTCACAATCCTTTGGTAAGGATGGACCCGCGTGTCATGCCGTCTCACTTTAGTAGCCATTGCACCTAGATTGTAACAGGTCCACAAGGTTAGAAACCATTCACTTTGAGAAAGGGAGAAACAGTCATTTTTACAGTAATAACATTCACATTTCAACAATTATGATTTAGAATACTTTGATTATACAATACACAGAACTTAATACAGATTATATTACATATACACAACACACATATCTTTTCTTTTACATGTACAAAAACTTTGTAGAAAAAAATAATACATCTTTTTGGAGTGTTGCTTTGTATTTAAAAATGCATAACTTAAGTAGTAAAATTCCACAGTGTTCAGAGTTATATGGGGACTTTTAAAGGGGAGGCGCAGCTAAAGGTTATGGGCTCTTGGTTTCTCTAGAAAAATATTGTTATTCCTCCTTTGGGWTCCAAAGGAGAACTGAGAGAAATTTGTCTCTTTATTTTGAAAGGTGGGGGAAAATCCAATACAGCTCTGATGGTAATTGAATGGTGGCAGACACCACCTGCCTCTCGCGCTCTCCTTCATTTTCTCTTTGCCGCTCCCACTATTCCTCTCCAGGTCAATCTGCTCGCTGGAGGCATAGCCTGTCATTTTTCCACCTATATTTGTCACAACTGATTTGTTCTCACTGCACTAATTGACACGGCCTCATATACATGACACAAACACACAGTTTGTGTTTCACAGGAAGTTCAGGTATTACAAAACTGTGATGTGCTCAGAGATTAAGGAAAAGTAAGTTAAGCCCTCGGAGAAAGAAGCAAAACACCTTTTACAAGATTTTTTTTCTTGCATTTTTAGAGAAAATTTAGGTTTTAAATATGCAACTGCACTATTCTGAAGGCYATAGGCCTGATATTTCCTTTTTTTACTGAACAACATGCAACTGAGCCCAATCTCAGGTGTGTCAGTAAGAGACACATTTATCTATTTGTTTTTGTTTGGATCCAATCCTGATATCTGAATTCAAATACCTGCCGATGCCAACATTTCTTAATACAAAGCTCTTTACCTCAGACACCGTGTTGCTTTTATTCTYTTTTTTTATGTTGTTTTGCAGTAAATGTTTGCACACATGATTGTTTTTCCTTTGTCAACACTAAGATATTTTTCCAAAAGCGACATGCTGAACAAGCAGACCACAGCAGGCAGGCTGTCCCTCTTGGGCGGCAGACTCATGTAAAAAGCTCCACCTGTATTTCTAAAACTCAGGAAATGAGCCAAACAAAGACATCTATTTATATCCTGGACACATTCATAGGTTTTATCATCACAATATGCTAAATGTTTTTGGGCGTAGGCTTAAACTTTTGTATGTAATAATCAAAAATATAAAGCCACACAAGATGGTGACTGAATCAATGGATGGATGTGCAACCTCAAAACAAACACAATCTAGGAATGATGTCGGCATTGGAAACAGATACAGATATTGGATCGTATTGGCCCCAACTCTACATAAGAGCACGAGTAGGAGAGTGAGCATGTTTCTCAGGGCCTTGTGTTGCTGAAGGCACCAGTCCATAATTCGAGTAAATAAAATGCACTAAGCTGGTGTAACCCTGCAAGTTAAAGTAAAGAAAGCCAGTCAGCTGTCCCTGTCTGCTCTACACGTCTCCCAGACGCCCCGCAGACACACAGGTCAGCTAAAATCACACTTGTGTCCACTGTTGCCACACCATGCTGTGGACAACATGAKAGAGCTCCGTGTCAAATGTAACACTCAACAACTGACTTTTATTAACTACAACTTAAAAACAACATATGCTGRACACTGCAGAATATTCAACAGATGTACAGTTGTCCCTTTGGTAGCAGGTGTGTTGAGCTTTAAGCACCATTAAGAATAAAACGCTGACCCACATATTCAGCTGTCCTTCCTGGCACAGAAAGTAAGGGCTATGTCAGGTCTAAGCACAAAGATTCAAGTTCAACAGATGTGAAGCTAAGACAATGGAGAGGAAGGAAGAAGGGAGGGGGCAAAAAAACTGGAGAATTTAATGAAAATCCCCAGTGGGAGAGAGAAAGGGACCATCTACAGGCATCAAGGCCTGCCTGCAGAGAGCAGCACAGAGAAATGATTTCAAAAGCTGCAGAAATCCGAGGGGATCTGCTGCCAGACTGAATATGCCTCCAGGCCAGTGCATGAAAAGGTTAGAGAGCAAGCTGCATGTGTGAAAAGTGGGTTTCTGTCAGTGTGTCTCCGTTTATACGGAGGCAAATTCTTCWATAAACCTTGCAGAAAAGAGGCAATGTAAACCTGAGCACCTTCTTTTGGCGAGAGCGCTGTAACTAAAACAGTGAAATAACTTCAGCTGAGAGTTTAAAGGAAGTTTAACGGCCCAGAACTCCAGGTAATTTATATCCCCTTTTGACTTTTTTAATATACTGAAATGTCCCATGTGAGCCACACTGCTGGTCACCCCATCTCAGAGTGCCACCAGCACATCCACACTGTGAATTTGTCTGTTTTGATCCTCAGGTGGACACAACATATTTACCTTTCAATAAGTCCTGACTGTGGCTCAGGGAAGCTGCATCCAGCATCCCAGCTCCAGGGTAAAACAAGCTGCCCTCCTGTCCAGGTTGGCTAAAGCTGGCCGCTGTACCTGCTGCACCCATGCTTCCCCAGGCTCTCTTACCTAGAACCCCACTGTGCTCGATGGGGTACTCCAGCAGCGAGGTGGGTGCCAAGGCGTAGGGGTACTCGTAGGGGGTGGTGTAGATTAGCCCAGCATCCGGTGTGGGAGGCACCAGTGTGGGGGTGCCATTGGGCAGCATGGCAGCCATCTGAGTGGGCCGGATGATGTTCATGATGGGGGCTCCAGCGGGTGTCGGAGGCCGGAGTGCCGGAGGAGGCAACACCTGACCTGCTGGAGCTGCTATGAGGCGGGGGCCCTGTGCGGCTGCTGCCGCCGCTGCAAGAGAGAACGCAAGGGTGGCTGCCATAAACAAGAAAGCAAAGGACAGGTGTAGAAAGAAAGAAAAAGAAAAAAAGACAAGAGACAAAGTGAAGTGTGGTTGATCAATATCACAGATGAAGATTGGGGGTAGGGTGGGGAAGAAAAACAAGAAGGAAAAATAGGGTGAACAGAAGAGGAAAAAGAAAGGAGAGGAAAGGAGAAGAGAGGAGAGGAGCACAAGGGGAAAATTAGTCCATGCAATGATCATGGTGGTGAACCACAAAAGCGACAGTTTTTGCAAATCAAAATCAATAATAAAATCAACATAGCCAAAAACAATTAAAAAACCCTCACACCAGAACACATAAGCACAAAATACAGCAGTCATCCCAATGCAACTGAAGCATACCAATCACCAGAGCAGCAACATATTTATATCATGGAAACAACACAGTAAGATAAATGACATACATGCCAATAGAAATAGACKTGCTGACTGGTAATAAAATCAGCCCCTAAAGACAGTTTGGACTAATTATGAATTTAGTATWTGGAAAAACTACGCTGGAACATATTTAACTTGAAGTAAATTCTTTAAATCAATACTGATCTTTTGTGCAGTCAGCAGTCAGTTTCAGTTGGATGTGAAAATAAACATGTTTCTTAGCAGAGTATACATTAGCTGGTGCTATAAGCTGTGAAATATAGACCTAAAAGATGAAAAAATAAAGTGCTTTTGTAACGGCAATACAGTCGGTAACAAATTTGAATCATTGCTACTTGAGCAGATGTTAAATCAAAAAAATAAACACAYGAATTTACCACACATTTTTATCTGATTTAGAACTATTCCCAAATAACAATTTAAAAACGGTAATTAAGAATTAGAAGGAGCATGCATGTGAGTGGAATTTTAGGTGTGGGTTTGTAAGTCTAATGTTTTATGTGATTCCATTTCTGACAAGCAGAGTTAGGCAGCTGAAAGTCAATAATGTGCTGAAAAGTTCAGAACAAGTGACACAGAGCTGAAGGATAAGGCCTGCAGTAGAAAGGATGAACATGGAGACAGATGAATGGATAGATGACTAAACAGAAAGAAACAGAACATAGACAGTCCTATTTATAATTAAAAGGAAAGTAAGGTCTGCTCTGGTTGCAGTGAACACGATGGAAAATAAACACCAGATCCTAATAAACATTATATATTAACGAGGGTAAAGTGAGTTACTGAGAAAGTCTGATGTATGCAGTGAAAGAGTTAGTGAAGTATGTTAAAATATTAGTGATATTTTATCACTGTATATACATATTTTGCCTGAAGTTCACTTACGTGTTTTAATGTTGTTGTCTCTGTAAGTCCCGTTGAGTATAGCTAACTCCATTAGCTGCATCTTCTTCAAATTGTCTTCCCCCTCCGCCTGAGGAAAAAAAAAAGATTTTGATATGCTTTAACAATCATTACAGATGCTGTAACAATCATTACTGGCTAAATCCAACAGTAAAYATACATTTAAAGGCTTATTAAACCAGTTCACTTTATCCCATCCTCAGGGTGTTAAAATTCAGCACTAGGACAAATGAAACATTTGAACAAGACAATGTTGTTCACTACATCYGTTGGATTGGATTTAGGCAAATAAAAATGGGAATAAGCTAAAGTGCTGTTGTCATTCCAGAGTGCCTTGTTGTTACTAAAATGCTGACAGAGACATTAAATGTGAGAATGCATATTCATAATCCATATCGGAATGATAATTACTGTAATTTTCTTTGCTCCCTTGTGCGCAATCAAATTCGCAATAACCGCCCTGGCTAATGTCAGTGCTGTCAATTAATGTTTGGATAAATAAATACAAAAGCAGCAGCCACTGTCATTATCGCCAAATTAGGGGACTGAAATTATTCACGGAAACCAATTAAGATAGCACCCCTCCTCCTACTCGCACCCATCCATCCCACCCTGTTCCCTTCAGTTTCCCTTTCCGCCCCCAAACTCCATTTCCCCTGGAGCCACCAAACACTCAATAATCATGACAACAAAAAAAAGTCCCTGTGATTTTCCAGGTAGTACATCATATTTAAGGTGGGTTGTTTGTGAATTATTTTCCAAAAGTGAGGGGTGCAAAGATGAGTTTGTGAAGTCTTGCTGACCTAAGGTCAACATTAAGTGAACTATTGATTTTATGCCTTTTGCTGCAGTAAGTTAAAACTCTCAGGGTCTTTTTTGCTTAGTATTACTACTCACAAGAGTGCTCAGACACATACGCATTGCATCTATATGTGAATGAAACAATGAGAAAATCAAGAAAGCTAAACACCAGTCCTTCACCCAGTCAATAGGAAGAGCCAGCATTTCAGACAAATAGTTCAATGAATGTTTGTAGCTCCATTCAGAGAACGAAACGGAAAGAAAGGATAAAGGAGGAGAAAGAAAGAAGGGGAAAAAATGAGAGCTCAGAGTTAAGCCCTCCCTTGAGACTCCTCTTGAACACAGCCACAGAGAAGGGAAGAGAAAGTCTGGGGTTAAGCAAAGGAGAAAGTGACAAAGGCTGGTCTCCCTTGACTAAATGTAAAGCAGTGTCTTCAGAGCAGTCACTGTATCCAGCTGTATATGTGTTGTTTATGTGTACTCTTAAGTAAATTGAGTTGCTGTCAACGAATAAACTTTTTCTCTACATTCAATGGGCTATTTTTCTTTTCTGTTTTCAGTGGATATTTTCACATAAATCTCATTCACATTAAGAGCCGAAAGAACCTGGTATGACTTAATAATCACCGTTATGAGACTAATAACATGTTTTCTTCTTTGTATGTGTCGCTCCAAAAACTGCATCAGCAATTCTTCGAAAGTGGGCCAAGCCAGCTGAGAATATATGGTAACCATACAAATTCTGGATTGTGAGTTTATTACTTTGAAAGGTTAATAAGCTTTTTTCAAAAATATAAAATCCTTCTAGCATTTATCTTTGCTATTTGCACTAAACAGAAAGCTGCATAAACAATTCTGATGCTGCTGAAAGGAGATGCATTGTAAGCATTCCTGAAGAAACAAGCCTCCTGCCCAACAATAACTCACAAAAATTATTAATTTCTCAATCGACTTTGTGTGCACAGAGTATCATAAGAGTGTGTGGCAAGAACCATGTCTTTGTGATTCCTTTTATTTTTCRGTATTAAAAATTAAAACAGCATTTTAAAATTTGAACAGTTGAGGTTCTGTATAATACAGCATACACAGGGGGTAAATATTTGGTATCAAAGAAGTTTTTCAGTGTTTGAGACTTGAGATGAACTGATGACCTGTTCAGGGTGTACCCCGCCTTTTGCTCGATGACAGATTAGGGGTGTAAGAAAATATCGATACACTGAAATATCGCGATATTTCATTTCCCGATACTGTATCGATATTCTAAAGCCCTGTATCGATTTTTAATTAAGGTTTAAAATGTCAACTTTCCTGCCAACCGTTCATTTTTATGTTGTAGTTCATCCTCTGACCACTAGTTGGCAGCAATGAGCCYGCCATTTGGCTCCTCTACCTCTTGAGCGCCAGAGAGTAAGGGTAGCATTAGCATTGTAGGAGACAATGTAAGCATTGTACGTAAACATTAGCTTTTCTTTTTTTTTCAGTAAGAGGTTTTTATTTAATAGAAATTTTGGACAAAAAAATCGCAATATATCGCAATATATTGCCTTGCTTACAGTATCGCAATATATCGGGATATATCGTATCYTGACCCCTCTGTTATGATATGTATCGTATCGCCAAATTCTTGCCAATACACAGCCCTATGACAGATGAGATAGCCACCACCCCTGTGACCACAAACAGGACAAAGTGGATACAGAAAATGAATGGATGGATAGATTTCAGGATTTCTTCAGTAGCAGACTGTAGATCAGGACAAATGAAGGCTGGATGAATCTTAGAGTTGCTTGTGTGTGTTTATGTAGACTGTATTATGATAGATCTGCAGGTCTTTGGGGGTTAAATAGGCACAGGGGATGAGGGTGCCACAATCTATCCAACTCTGCATTGGTGGCATGCTGCCCGTTAAGAGTGGAGAGACACAAAATAGAGGGCAGCAAGAGGGGAAGAACACAGATGCAGCTGCTACGATGAGGTGTGTGTTGTTGTGTGAAAATGTGAATATCATCAGTGGAGGGTAGAGGATAAAGCTTGATCTTCTCCCTAACACAGATTGTTGGCTAAAGCCACCAATCCCCAACAGCTCACTGCTGTTTTGTATATAAAACAAGCCATTTTTAATGTAAGAAACAATACAATGTTCCTGAGACATTTTGTTTACCTTTTTTTCTTTCAAATTAAAGAGAAAGCAATATTAGAACCATGGTCTGAGAGACATGACAAGGTTAGCAGATTTGAAAAAATAAATGCAGACAGAAGCTTTGACAACAGAAGAGACCAAAAGACGCTGCTGACAATGCTGTAGAGGAGCTTTAATCATGTTGCTCTAGGTATACTGACAAGGCTTCCTACGATAGATGCACAGCTTAAATGAATGATGAACTGTACCAGGGAGAGCAGTTACCCGTTTAATGTTGCCTTGCTCAAGGTGTTGTCACAATTAACAGACTCCTCTGTCAGCATGCACAGCCTGTAATAAAACATCCACTCAGGGGAAGGTACCACTAAGAGTGTTAGTGCGAGCCATGCAGGAGTGTGTGTTTGTAATGACCCAACTGCTGGAATACCCCAAAGAGGGCTGGCTGCTGGATTAGAGAAAGGGAGAAACGAAGGGAGGAAGTTTTCTCTTACACCAAACATTCACACATGCAGGTGTGTGACAAACATACACACCCTCATGCTGCTGTCCATCAGTGAAAAAGTCACTCAATAAAGCTGCTCTATCCAAAATAATCTGATTCAATCAATGAGGCCTATTTGTGAAATCAGCAGAGCGGTAAAAGCTATCAGCGACAAGCAAGACAGAGGGATGAGGGGAAAGCGAGAAAATGGGAACGGAAGAGAAGGGAGATGAGAGTGTGATGAGCTAAAGTAGGGGAGCCATGTCRCACTGCCTACCTGACAAGCCCTGCCATGATGTCGCTTGATGCATGGAAAATCACTGTCACGCTTCAGTCTTTAGTGCCACTTCTGACCCAAGCTTGTCCATATCATAGATGAATACACACTGCAGCTAATATCAATTATTAAAAATGATAGGGCTTATGTTTAATGGTTTGTTATGCATGCATGTTTGAATGGCAATAAGAAACAGATGAATAAGTACTTGTCTGCACTCTTACTTTGACACTCCAATTTCAGACCTTTCCCAAGCCAGACTGATTTAAATAAATACTGCAGGAGCCTGGGCTGAATGGAATGAAATTGCTCATGTTTACGGCGGCAAAAAGGGGGGAGTTTTGCTCATTTCTGGAAAAAGTCTCCATCTATGGAACTCAAGTTTACAGCTTGGCTCAGCAAGATGAAATGATGAGCAAAGACAGAAACATAAAGAGGTGGAACAAAAGAGTCCAGGAAAGGGGAAAAAGTGCTGTAAACCAAGTACTAGAAAAGCATGAAAGATRATCTTTGAGTTTGTCAAGAGATGTGAAGAAATAAGAAAGGGATAGCTGGAGAAAATGAGACAAGAAAAGACAGACAGCATAGTGAAAGCCAATTTGTCTGTTCCCTAGTGGGCTGACACTGGCTAGGGCCTGCTTTCCTTCCCTCACTGCCAGTCATCACAAACAGGCATACGCACACACACAAGTTTTCACACACAAACACACACACGCATATCTTAGGCCTTAGCAGGGCCAGGGTCAGACTCTCCAAACTACTCCAATTACCTCAGCAGTAAACACAGCATGCCCTGGCTGCCACCTGGGACACAGTGAGCATGTATGTGTGGCGCTGAGAGCAAGAAGGGAGGAGAAAGAATCAGCAGAGTGGTGTGGAGGAGGTGAGACTTGGAGCCATGGGGAGGGAGGAGTAGATGACTTCATGTACAAGGGTGGAACTGGTGGTGGTGTAAATGCATTTTTCCCTCCTGTTCCCCTCCCGTTCTACACTCCCTTTTGGTTCCTTCCCAAACTTCAACATCTGGAGGGAAATGATTACTCTTGCCAAGCTGCCAAAATGACTTATCAACAATTCCACACTCTCCAAGAGTGGAGGGTTAGAGGAGAGATAGGAATGAGTACTTGTTGCAAGCTTCAAAACATCTCCCCATTAAATAAATAACTGACAAGAAATTTAATCAATTCAAGCCAGCTAAGCAAACTTGGAATATAAATCCTAGAAAAAAGTAAAAGCACGTGCAACAAACTTGAATCTGATGTTTCCACAGACGAGGCTATAAATCAAYCAACCGCTCAAGCAAATATTGGGAAATCAAATTGATACATGCTGCCAAACACACGTTTTTCTGTTTTAGGCATTGTAGAGGAA